GATGCCTTTCAGTGTGAGTTCATCCGCTGGAGCCTGGACAATCTACTAAGAGTCTTATCTTTATTTTTCAATTAAAAAATATTTTTATTATTTTTATTTTATGTGTATATTTCCTGCACGTAGGTAGGTGCATCCATGTTGTACAGTGCCCCTAGAGGTCAGAAGAGGCTGTTGGATCCCCTGGAACTGGAGTTATGGATGGTTGTTAGCTGCCATGTAGGTGCTGGGAGTGGAACCCAGCAGCCATTGCTCTTAACCATGTTTCATCTCTCCAGCCCCAGCCCCTTTTTAAAAATTTTATTTATTATTATTTTATGTGTATGTGTTCTTGTGCACATATGTCAGTGCATTGCATGTGTGCAATGTTCAGGGAGGCCATAAAAGGACATTAGATCCTAACGACTGTTTTTGGCTTCCATGTTGGTGCTGGGGACCGAACCCAGGTCCTCTGCAAGAGCAGTCAGAGCTCTTAACTGCTGAGCATCTCTCCAGCTCCCAAGTCTCACCTTTAAATGAGGCTAACTCTCCTCTTCCCAGCAGTATTTTCTCACGTGGGGTTGGGCTCAGGAGTCCCGCAAAAGCTTCAAGCCAGAAAGTAAGATTTTTATCTAAGTAAATGAAACAGAACATTATGAAATTATGTCCTGGGTACTTTTTCCATCTCAGAATTTGCCAGAATTTCATGGCTGCACTACACAGAGTGCAGCACACTGAAATGTCTTCCAGAGTGTGGAGGAGACCCCACTTCCCAGTGACCCATTTAGTGAAAAGTATTTCAGAAACATTTTTTGATATTTTAAGTAACAGCATTTGAGATAGTATAAGCAAAATTGAACACATCTGGCAGTGCGTGCTGTTTTCATTATTAAGTAAAACTAAGAAATAGTACCCTTCCCCAAGCCATGATAAGCATGTATTTACAGTTGCCTGTGGTAAAACCAGTAAACTGTTAGCAGTAAATCTACACTGTATTTGTAATCTTGAATTTGGAACTTCATATATTAATTCTCACTAATGATTCTCAAGTTTATGTAAAATTTCAATATGCTGCTAATAGTTCGTTTTTTAAAATGACTGTGCTGTTATTTAATTATGTACCATGTCTATAGTGTATTATTGATCTCCATTTACCTCATTGTCTTGTTAAAATATCATGGAAGAAGGCTGGGCATGGTGGCGCACGCCTTTAATCCCATCACTCGGGAGGCAGAGGCAGGCCAATCTCTGAGTTCAAGGCCAGCCTGGTCTACATAGTGAGTGGGGGCTACAAGGAGACCCTGTCTCAAAAAGGAAAAAAAAAATGGTAGAAATATGTATTTAGAAAGTTGTGAAGGAAAATATAGTTATATTTAATGTAAGGTGTGTTGTCATTTTTCCATTTGAAACATCTTTAATTTTAAAATATTCCTTGTCATGATTCATTGCTGTCATTTTGCATCAATAGTGAAATAAAACATCTATTTTTAAATGTTACTATGGGACTGGAGAGATGGCTCTGTGGTTAAGAGCACTGGCTACTCTTGCAGAGGACCTGGGTTTTGTTCCCAGCACCCACATGGCAGCTAACAACCTTTCGTAACTCCCGTTCCAGAGGATCTGAGGCTCTCTTCTGGCCTCTGCAGGCATCGCAGGCCATGTTTGCACTCACATACATGCAGGCAAGAAACACTCATACATATAAAATAAAGATTTATTTATAAATAAATAGTATACTAACAAAATAAATGATTATTTATAAATAAAATAAAAGATAAGTATTAGTAAGAAAAAAACGAGCAGTTTCAAGTTCCTTCTGATTGAAAACACAAAATGGATCCTGGTGATCTCAGCAAATGCAGGGGACCGTCAGCCCAAGACAGCGACTCTGCCCTGCACTGACTCCTTCCTCGTCCCCAGAACAACGCCTCCAAGCTTTTGCTGGCCATCATGGAGAGCAGGCATGACAGAGAGAATGCAGAGAGGATTTTGTTCAACATGAGACCCAGGGAGCTGGTAAGAAAGCTTTCCAGTGCTGTGCTGACAGTGGGTAGCCTGAGGGAGAAAGTGGAGTCGTGTGTGTATGTGTGTGTGTGTGTGTGTGTGTGAGAGAGAGAGAGAGAGAGAGAGAGAGAGAGAGAGAAGAAGAAGAAGAAGAAGAAGAAGAAGAAGGGAGGGAGGGATGGAGGGAGGGAAGGAGGGAGGGGGAGAGCAAGGGGGGAGAGAGAGAGAGAGAGAGAGAGAGAGAGAGAGAGAGAGAGAGAGAGAGAGAGAGAGAGAGAGAGAGAGCGCATCTCCCCTGCTCTTCCAGGGATGGCTGGAGCACCTTCACCTGCCCTGACCTATCCTCTGAGGCCTGCCTGGCAAAGCCCCATGTTGGCTCCAGGCCCCTGACTCATGAGTTTTTGTTTTAGATTGGTTTCATTTTATGTGTATGTGTATGTGTGTGCCATGTGTATAGTGGGTGCCCTTGGAGGCCAGAAGAAGGCATCAGATCCTTTGGAGCTGGAGTTATAGGTGGCTGTCAGCTGCCCCACATGGGTGCTCGTCTGCGAGAACAGTGTATGCTCTTTACTGCTAGGCCGCCTCTCCAGCCCCAACTTTGGTAGTTTTACCCACTACGAGCACTTCTTTTAACCAAATTATCATATTATCTACTAAACTCTATACAAATACCTTTGCTAGAAAAGGTTTGGTTTTGAATAGTGTCTGGGGTACAGTTGGTCCTGAGGCCAGTTGCCTAAGGACATCCAGAAATGATTGTGTGGGAAGAAGGTGCGGAAAACATGCTTGTCATGCCCCCGAGTTTTATTTACACTTTTCTGAAGCAAATGCAGATAAACTTGATTTGTATGTTTTGTGAGTTGTGAGTGAATATTGCATAACACGCGGCCTGGTGGAAACAGCAGGAGAGCAGATGTTGGGTCTGCAAAGCTCACTGATGTCTGTCTTCCTGCTGTGAAAGCCCCATTTACTCATGGAACATGATGAGGCAGACTTTAAAAGTTTTGGGTTCAAAAGCCTTGAAAATATCCTCAACCGTATTGGTCAGTCCAGCAATGACTAAGTTCCCTCACATCAAGGTGCCAATGTACCACGCCAAGGTTCTATGGAAGGTTCGTACCATATCCTCCTGATTTACCAGTAAAGAATGGAGCCAAGGAGGGAAGATGCAGTTTGACTTTGCATGTATTTAATGAGAGCCTCGTACCTTCAGGGAGTCGTTAAGATGCACCACAGCTCCCTATCCTCTGGTGAAGTGGGCCACTGAATTACGTATCTGACAATAGCACTGTGAGTTGCTCTTTGCAAGTTCTGCTTCCTGGTCCATCAACACCTTTTTGTCCCATCATGTCCTTGCTCTTTGTGACCCACCGACCAACCCTTACCTGAGTTGGAACCCGGTGCCCAGCTCCTCAGCAGAACCAACGCACTGCCCCTTTGCTTCTTTCTGACTGTCGCGCTGGAGTAAGACCCTTGGGCTGCAGCGCCCAGCACCAGGTCCAGCACCGTGTCTACCTGCTTCCTCACGGGCAGTCCGTAAATAATGGATATTTCTCACAGTTCCAGATTCTCTTAATTCATGGGGTCTTCAGCATTTTTAGCATTCAAAGACGTAATGAAAATTTTCCATAAATGGGGAATATTGTAGCAATGTGATTCTACACTCATTTAAAGAAATGGTTTTCATGAGTCTTTTCTTTTTTAAATAAAATGTAAAGTTAGCATACAAGTGATGCATTTTGTGATGGCATTTTGTGCATATGTGTTACTATGCTTTGTTTTTATTGGAATCCCTCCCCTTTGTCCTCCCCTCTACTCCCCCCAAGCAGGTCTCCTTCCTCCTCTCAAGTAGCGCCCCATCCGTTTTACCTGAGTCTCCTAGGCTGTCATTCCTGCATCCCTTTTTCTTAAATATCTTCCTTCCCTCTCTGATTCCTCTGCCTCCCTCTCTCTCTCTCTCTCTCTCTCTCTCTCTCACACACACACACACACACACACACACACACAGACACACCCCCACACATTCTGCATGTGAGAGAAAACTTGTAATAATGGGTTCGTTTGGATGTTTCTGTGGCTCACAAGCAGCCGTCTAATCTGTGTGCCGTGGCCTTTCAGACCCTGGTGTTCCTTGTTTCTAGGTGGACGTCATGAAGAATGCCTATAACCAAGGACTGGAGTGTGACCACGGGGACGAGGAGGGCGGGGACGATGGTGTTTCCCCAAAGGACGTTGGACACAACATCTACATTCTGGCCCATCAGGTGTCCTATTTTGTATCTTTATATTGTTTTGCCTATTTATATTGATATTTATATTTTTATTAATGGGCTATTATTATTTCTTCATTTGTTCAGTACTTGTCCGCCCAGCTTTTGTGTAAAGAAACTAGTAAGTCTCCCAGAATGCCTGATTATGCAATGCAGGATTTGCTAGGGGACAGTCCGCATGTGCTTGGTCCCCCAAATTTCTCTGCCTGGAAGGAAGAGACAGTGTCATGCCAGAGCCTGCGGAACAGGAAACAGGAGAACGAGGAAGGGCTGCTGAGGAGACCGAGCCTGTGAGGAAGGTGGGGGTGGGCTTGTAAGGACAGAGGAGAGACTACCAGAAACCGTGTGCACAAGGAGGGTTTGCTGGGGCCTGAGGACAGAGGAACAGAGGCTTTTAAGGAGACCAAGCCTGTGAGGACAGCGGAAGAGGCAAGAGGAAGCCAGGTTGTTAAGGGGAAAGGGTATGAGGGTGGGTACCCTCTACCCTCCCACTTAGCTGGGGCTAACCCAGCAAATAGCTCTGGCTTCCTTGAATTATAGATTGACATGCTTTTTGTAGAAGTCATTAAATTTCAGCCTCTGAGTGGTTTCCACTAGATTTCTAAAAAAAAATTATAAAGCCAGATCTAAAATTCTCTTGGAGGGTTTGCTTCTATTTCATGGCTTATAAAAAACAAATACTTGATATTTATTATTTGATAAATTCAACTCCATGTACATGATCAAATTTAAATTTACATCATGTAACACAGATCCATTTAAAAAAAATCAAAAACTTTAAATGTGCATATGTCAATTTGATTTTGTTTAGAATAGTCCCATCATTTTTAGAGAATAAAGTTCAGACTTTGTAAACTACTAGACTTCCTAACCATGGTCTTCCACTGGCCTCTCCCATTTAGTCCCCATTCTGACCTGTTGGTTACGTAGACATTGACAGCTATAAGCCCAGATTCTTTTAGAGGTTGCTCTGCGTGGACATTTCCTGTGCCTGTCTACCTGTGAATACTGTCTAATCTATAGAAATGTAATTTAAAACAATTTTTATTGAGCTCTTGTTCATCTCATACAACAGTTTTTAATCAAATGTTCCCCATCCGCGTCCACACACTGCCCGCAGGACCTCAGGGATTCTGCCCTACACGCTGAGTTCTATCCAGTCAGGCATTTGTGTCCAGATGTCCTTTGGTGCAGGTTTGTCCCCTGGAGTCCAGTCAGCCTATCTAGATATCGTAAGGTCTACTCTCCCTCACCCAGCCCTAATCAGTCTTCAACAGTTTCCAGGCTAGGGCCGGCCCACCGCCCATTTCCCCGACTCCACTCTGGGCCCTTGTCTGATAGACTGGGCACAGGTCTTGCCTGATGCCACCATTGCACCAAGTTCACTTGTGCAAGCTTCCAGTGGCCTGAAGGCCTCTGCTTCCCTGTGTTCAGGAACCAAAATATAATTTAAAAAAAAATCTTAAAAGAAGGGATCAGATTCTAAAAGTTCCTAACAAAAGGCTGCTACTGTTTCATGATATAATTGGAGCTGAGGTGTTACGGTTTCTCCTAGGGAATGAGAACACATACAGCCCAGCGGGGAAAGGACGGATGAGTTGTACCTGCATGGACAGGGCATTTTAGGTGCAGAGAAACTAAAAGCCAGAAGGAGGCTAAGTTGAAGGGCGTAGACTTAAGATGTGTGTGTGTGGGGTGAGGGGATCTCATTTTAAAGTATTTTATTTCTATTTTATTATTTTTATTTTATGTGTATGAGTATATTGCCTGCATGTGCATAGGTGCACCTGTGTCATGCAGTGCCCGAGGAGGTCAGAAGAAGACGTTGGATCCCCTAGAACTGGAGTTATGGGCAGTTGTTAGCTGCCATATGGGTACTAGAAACCAAACCTGGGTCCTCTGCAAGAACACTCAATGCTCTCAACTGCTGAACTATCTCTCCAACACACCAAAAAAAAAAAAATCTCATTTTAAAGAGAAAGAAAAATCAGGTGACAGAAGTTCAGTCAGGCCAGAAAAAAGAAGAAGGATAGAGAATAAATGAGAAGGGAAAGAAAGAGTTCCCCAGCTGAGGATTCAAACCACATTGACTCCTTGAAGGAATCATCCGGAAATCCATGGTGACACTCTGTGCAGGGAATAGGGAAGGCCAGGAGGATTAGGACAGGGCACGCAGCACTGAATCTTCAGAGGGGGACCAGAGCCACCATGTTTTCTTGACTGAAAGCTGGTCTCTCTCCGTCTGTGGAGGCTGTCCCCTCTGCATGAGTGAGCAGCATCACGCCTGGCCCTGTAGCTGTGACGTGGAACATGAACATCTGGTCATGCTAAGCTTGCCTAGAAACCAGCCCACATGCTTGATGAATCTGGAAAGGCTGTCTCAGGTCACCACAGGGAGCCAAGAAAAGTCAGAATCAAGGGAAGTCTCAGGTTAGGTTAGCACGGTGTTAGCGTCAGTGTTGAACGTGCAGATTATTATTTTAAAAGCTTAAGTTATACATTGGAAGAAGGAGAAAGAGCTGGTCATAGACTGAAGGGTCATGCTAAACCAAAAGAAACAGAGAAGGCAAATATGAAAGGGGGAGTCAGGATGGTGTAAAGGTCACTCATTTTGATAGATTTGAATTGGTGAGCTTGAAAAACATCTGCCTGAAGAAGGAGCAGAAATTCAGATGTCATCAGAAAGCGCCCAGAGGTTAAAAACAGCTTGCTGGCACCGGGTGTGGTGGCACACTCCTCTTAATCCCAGCACTCAGGAGGCAGAGGCAGGCGGATCTCTGTGAGTTCAAGGCCAGCCTGGTCTACATAGTGAGTTCCAGGACAGCTGGGGCTACAGGGAGACCCTGTCTCAAAAAGACAAAAAAACAAACAAGAAAGACCCAGCTTGCTGGGAGGAAGCAAAGGAGGAAAGGATGGGGAAATGGCTTGAGCGGATATACAGAGGGCTTAAAAAAAACAAAACTTCCCCCAAACAAAATGCTGGGAAAGCAGTCGTTTGAGCAGTGAGGATATGGCACAGAGCTACAGAAGACAGAAAGAGTTGGGCAGAACAAGGGGCTCTGGATTGCTGGACAGTTTCACCTTGTGATTAAATGGCCATTTGCAGTGTATCTGAGTCCATAGGGTCCCTTTTAGAAATCAGAGAGGATGTGGGAGTGAGATTCTTCCTGGGATGGTTGTGTGTAACTGGTGCACAGAGTTAATGGTCTGTTCCTTTTATTACAACGACACACGAAATTGTTCCCTTGTCAGTTCGTGTGTCATTTCTTACTTACTTAGTTTTCCTTGAGAAATTAGCTGCTTTCACTCCCACAGGAGCCCACTACGCTCTGTTGATCTTTCTCTACAAGAAGGTCCTGCGGCTTGCTCCTGGCAGAGATGTCACATTTGGTTTCATGGGGGGCCAGCCATGGTTGCTGAGTTCCTTGTGAACCCACCGTGCGAAGCAGCTCCCACACATGCCTGCGTACAAGGCCGAGTGTGGTGGGATCCAGGCTCTGCTGTTTCCCTCTGAGCCGGGCGCTGGAGGCTCCAGCTGCCGATGACGTTGCAGAACTCTGTCCGCCCCTGCTCAGCCCAGTCATTTGAAAACTAAGATGCAGCTTCCTTGTGGCTTTCCTATAACCATCGTCTGTGCAGACAGTTTATTTCTGTGCTCTCAGACTTTCGGTTTTCGTTGTTGATGCTTTTCATGGCCGGGAGGTGGTTCCTGCTTTTCCACCCTGACATCCCTTCGGGCCCTTCCTGTGGTCGGTGTTACAGGAAACAAATAATGCTTCTTGTAACCGTCTTGTCTGATATACATAAAACTATAAATACATCAAAAAGGGAAATTCTTCAGCTTTGATTCTGTGGTGCCTGTGCTGTGAGTTTCTGCACCAGCCAGCGGTCAGCAGCACATCCTTTCTGACTTGTCTGCTCTGGTCTGGCCTGGCTTTTTATGCTCCCTCCCCTTTCCTTCTCTGTTCAGTTTCTTTTGAAACAATCACTGCCCACCATTTGAGCGTTCATATATGTTCAACATATGTTAAGCCCTATCATTTCTCCCACTCGATCAAGCAATTTCCGTATTTTTATTGTTGTCTGAGTCTTTGTTTGAAACTCTTAGCTGAGTTAAGGTGTGTATGGAGGAGGCTGGGCACCGTGGCTCATGCCTTTATAATCCCAGCCCTTGACAGGCAGAGGAAGGAGGATGGCTGGGAGTTCCCGGCTAGCCTAGGCTAGTGTGAGTCCTTCTTTCAAAAAGGAAAAGAAGTAAATGAAGAGGCATCACTTGCTTTTCTGGGCCAGGAGACATGTTAGGAAGCCTCGGAAAGCAGAAATACACCTCCTAGAGCAAGGGGCAGCAGGTCACTGTAATCAGTTTCCTGATAATCTTCTCAAAATGCAAGCTTTAAAATTCTTCAAGAGCATTTTTCTGAATCAATAAATGGTCTTTGAAAAATATAGTTTTAATGTCTGCATAATTTGGCATCATCTGAATGCACTGTAATTTACTTAATCATCCCTTATTGTTAGGCATTTAGGTTTCTAATATATTTGATACATAAATTATGCTCTGATTAACATCACTCTTTGTCTATCTGTTGATTATTTTCTTAGGGTAAATTCCAAGAAATTGAGCTACTAGGTCACAGGGTAGTAACTATTTTCTGGTTCTTGATGCATATTGTAAAATTATTTTTCACAGTGTGTGATGGTATCAGTGTTACTGAACCTTAAACTTATCGCCATTCAAAAAAAATCCTTGCTGAACACCGTGATTGCTCCACAAGCCTTGGTTGACTAAATCAATGTTTGATAGATGAACGGGAATCTCATTTTTAGTCACTTCTCGGTAACTACTCTAATGGGCTGCCTCTTCCTGCACTCTTTGAACAGCTGTATTTCTTCTGTGAAGTACTTGAAAGTGTATTTACCCTTTATTAGGGCGTAGATTTCTTAAAGAATTTTAATTAAGGATAACAGCCATTTGTCAGTCATGTTAGTTATAG